GACTCACCTTATTCTGGGTTAACCTAGTTCTGGGACAAGGAATTCCGTTCTGGTCTGTGTCCCCAAAATGTCGAGGTTTTCAAATAACCAACGAAGACGGTGCACGGTGTGACCTGCGGTGTTTGCGTCTTGAGAAAATTCACAAAGATACTTTGGAATAGAGTTGGGACTTCCTTCCTCACCAGATGGCATTGTTGACTGACAGGACAGATGAACCAACAAGGTCTCTGGAGCACCTGCACCTGATTCCTGAGATTTTCCTCATGCTATGGAAAAGGGACTAAAGCAGGGACAAAGATTTTTTTTTTTTTCTCAGCTAAGAGCCATTGATGGAAAAGGTGGAAAATCAGCTGAGTATCACATAAAGTTTTTTTAAAAGCCCACTTAGATTTTCCTTTTGTTCCTTTTAATAAGAAATATAACATATTCAATTTCTCTTTTTGCTTCTTTTCTCTTCTTTCCTTTTCTTTCTGTCCTTCCTTCCTTCCTCCCTCCTTCCCTTCCTTCCTTCTTTCCTTCCTTCCTTCCTCTCTTTCTTCCTTTCTTCCTTTCTTTTCTTTCTTTCCTTCTTCCCTCCTGCCCACCTTCCTTTTTTTTCTTTCTTTCTTTCTTTCTTTCTTTCTTTCTTTCTTTCTTTCTCTTTCTTTCTTTCTTTCTTTCTTTCTTTCTTTCTTTCTTTCTTTCTCTTTTTCTTTCTTCTGTCAAATAGTTGTCCTTTAGTTGTAACGTTAAAAATCTGTTCTCTCCCAGGCAGGTGTATGTGTCAGGATCTTTTCAGTTCTATAAACTACCAACTTACACAGAGACAGACTAAATACATTGAAATGAAGTGTTCTCTGCACTACTAAATTGGGATCTGAAGGTAAGTCTGTTGAGTAAATAAAATAGTATAGTATTCGTAAGTGAAATAGTCCCAGTACTCATACTGTTTTTTTTTAATGGTTCAAATGCAAAGTATTGTAATAGCTTCCAGTTTGTCTCAGAAAACCAAAGAGGTTCTTATTTAGAAACCACTGCAATAAGCCTGCTATTACTGGGGTGCATTGGAAATCAACAAGTGAATGAAACCGTTGTCTTGGAGTTTGAGTTTATTAAATAACATTTGAACATAATTGGCAGGAATTCTTAAATTCTAAAATTCTTTCCTGTGTCTCTAGCCCATCTGCCAAGCTGATCCTCAGGAATATATTTTTAAAATCTTTTAAAAATGTTTATTGGGGAGAGAGAGAGAGAGAGAGAGAGGCAGAGAGGAAGGGAGACACAGAATCCAAAGCAGGCTCCAGGCTCTGGGCTGTCAGAACAGAGCTCAATGCGGGGCTCCAACTCAGGGGCTCCAACTCAACGAGAGATTATGGCCTGAGCCCAAGTCGGAGGCTTAACCAACTGAGCCACCCAGGTGCCCTAACCCTCAGGAATCTTGAACAGTAATGTATTGGGATGCTTTGTGAGTTGGGTCGCACCAGAGGTCTCCAGTCCTGCTTGCACACGTGCCTTGGCAGACGTGTGCACGCCATCCACGCGTGCACAGGGATGTACGTCCACACCCCCAGTGGCTGGCCGGTCCCCAGCCTGGGTCTAAAAGAAACTGACTTTTAAAAGGGCCGTTCTCTTTTTGTTTGAAACCATGATCTTAACGTTGAATCCAAAGCCCAGACAAACATGACGTCAGGGGACAGCACAGCAGGGCAGTTTGAGAGGATTAGATTTCTTTAAATTACAAAAACAGTAAGAGCCGGAGGTCTTCAAAATCAACATTTTATAATCCGAGTCACGCTCGTGTTTTTGCTCCTTTGCTTAGAAAAACAATATTGTCAGAGTTGACCTCAAATCTGTGTAGCGGCACGTGACCCGGTTGGAGAGAAGTGTGCAAACGCTAAGCAGCATCTAAGCGGGGGTCCTGCTGCCCTTGGGATCCATACCAGGGATGGAAGTTCTGACAGTTGAGAATAATCATATTCTTCACTCGTAGCGGAATAACATTGAAATAAGAACAATGTATTACATAATACATTGATTTAAAGGTTTACTTTAACATCCATTCGTGACAAAAACTCTCCACAAAGGAGGCTTAGAGGGAACATACCTCCACGTAATAAAGACCACATAATGAAAAATCCACAGCTAACATCATGCTCCACGGTGAAAATCTGAGAGTTTTTCCTCTAAGATCAGGAACAAGACAAGGCTCTTCTCACCGCTGCTAGTCAACACAGTACTAGAATCCTCGCCATAGATATCAGACAAGAAAAAGAAAGCAGAGGAATCCAAATCAGTAAAGAAGGACAAAAGCTTTCACTATGTGCAGATGCCATGATGCCACATAGAGAAAACCCTGAAGACTCCATCCAAAAACCCGAGGAAACTGATAAATAAACTCAGTGAAGTTACAGGATAAAAAATTAACCTGCAGAAATCGATTGCATCTCTACACACTAATAACAAAGTCACAGAGAGAGAAATTAAGAAAACAATCCCATGTACAATTGCCAAATTACCAAAAAGAATAAAATATCTAGGAATAAACCTGACCAAGAAAATAATAAGGTTCACCGCTCAGAACCCAAACACTGAGAATAGGTGAATAGACCCTCCACCCACCCCCTACTGACTCACCTGTCTCGTAACCTTCTGAAATTCAACTCAGTGCAGTGATCCTCAAGGTGTGGTCCCCAAGCCAGCAGTGGCAGCACCACTTGAACTTGATGGAAAAGCAAATTCTCAGGTTCCACCCCAGATTTGCTGAATCAGACACTCAGGGGGGGGTGAGCCAGGAATGCGTGCTTCAGCAACCCCTCCAGGTGATTCTGAGTAGGCTCAAGTTTGAGGACCCCTGGTTTATACACTTCACGATTAGAAAGACCATCGGGTGTCTGAATATAAGCCGACCGTATGGCATGGCTTAATGAGAAGATGTATAAATCGAGAGGGTCTCTGCAACACCTGGCCTTTATTCTTAACATCTTTCTTGTGCCAAAACAAAGGGAGTTATGCAGAGATGGAGAAACTGTTTCTTTCCAGCCAAGGCTCATTGATGTAAAAGGCAGAAAACCAATTGGGTACCATATAAAGGTAAAAAAAAGAAAAAGAAAACATTTAAGTTATATTTTCTGTTCCTTATAATAAAAAAATATATTCAATTGGCTCTTTTTCAGTTAATGAGGAGGAACAGTAAGACAAAGCCGGGAAAAATAACTTGGTTTTCTACTATAGTTATTTAAGGGAGACGTGCCAGATTTTATGAAGGAGCCAATTTTCTTGAAGGGCAGAGGCTTTCATTATATTCCTCAGGTTACCTAGCTCACTCCTCAGTCTGAACTAGTTGCATAACAGATAGTCACTAAAATTAAGGGAAAAGATAAAAATAAAATTAAAAAGTAAAAAAAAAAAAAAAAGGTGAAAAGAAGAAAATTGAAAAAATACCCCAGGGAGAAATATAAACACGAGATGCTGAGGAAAAAAAATAGAAACGACATAAAGAGCAGGAAGGCAATCAAGTAGAAAATAGAACAAAATGGCAGAAGGAAAAGGCAAAAGGGTGATACAAATGAAGCACTGAAATGATTTATAAACTATATCAGGGCGCCTGGGTGGTTCAGTCGGTTAGGCATCCGACTTCGGCTCAGCACATGATCTCGCAGTCCGTGAGTTCGAGCCCCTCGTCGGGCTCTGTGCTGACAGCTCAGAGCCTGGAGCCTGCTTCAGATTCTGTGTCTCCCTCTCTCTGCCCCTCCCCCGTTCATGCTCTGTCTCTCTCTGTCTCAAAAATAAACGTTAAAAAAATTGATAGGAGTAAGGCTCATGAACTTCAAGTTCAATGATCAAGCTACAAAGGTATACAACATTTCCTCTTTTAGAAATTATTTCTAAAAGTCCGTGTTCAAAATGGCGGCCGAATTTCAAGGACCACGAAGTTGGCTCTTAGGGACACGGGAGTGTCACAGAGTACTCAAGTCAAGGAGGAAAGGTAGCTGTGAGGAATGTGGTAGATGCTATGTCAACAGAAGAGGGGGGAGGGAGAGTTGGACTTTTTTTTTAATCTTCAATTTTGCTGAGAAAACTTCTCAGAGTTTCAATTTATAACAGCTGTTTCACAGATATGTAAGCATGGGAAACATGGCTCACTGGACCAAGGCCTGTGAATTCTCACCTTGAACCAAAACTCATTTCAGCTTCTTAACCAGTCACCACCCTATTTCATGCCTGGTTTCATCTCAGCAAGGAGCATTTGCTCTGATGCCACTAGTGTGGTAACCGAATAGTTCAAGGGCAGTTGTAAGCAGAGTCGGACTAAGGGGGAAATGTAATCCGCCCTAAGTGTTGGTGGAAGACATTCCATCCACCCCCAAGAAGGAAACTACTTGTTCAAGAAAAGATATCAGAAAGCATAAACTACCACAACACACACACACACACACACACACACACTCACACACACTCACATAGCAGAGCTGACAGCCACATCTTAGAAGTAGGAAGAATTGACCCAACTCTACAAGACGGTAGTTTTCCCAGCTAACTCTTGCATCTCAGAAATCGCTAGCCCTCCATGCAGCGTAACTGGATGCTAGACCTGTGTTTTGTCACCTCAGGCAATAAACAAAAAGAGGGCACCAAGGAGAAACAACCCACACTGCCATCGTCACCACACGTTATACATTCACGTGTCACCTGTTCAAACCCGTAGAATGTGCGCCACCAAGAGTTAACTATGGACTTTGGGTAATGATGTATCAATACGGGTTCACCAACTATAATAATGTACCACCGTGGTGATAACGGGGGAGGCTGTGCCTGTCCCCACACACCTCTGTCTCCTCCTCTCAGTTTTGCAGTGAACCTTAAACTGCTCTAAAATAACACTGTTAAACGCACACACACACACACACACACACACACACACTTCCATTCCTGCTTTTTGAATCCAATCAAATGTTTTTCTCTATCACTAGGCTGGAACCTCCGATAATGTCAATGACGAGATATTTAGTGGGCCGGTGGGAAAATGGAACCTACCTTACAGACAGTTCCCAAACTTCTTAAGCTTGTTTAAACTTGCCATTGATTTGGCAAATACATAAATTGACCTGACAGCAGTCAATCGTTAATAATCATAGAATGAAAACACACTGAGAAGTTAAACTTTTCTTAAGTTTATTTATTTCTTTTGAGAGAGACAGAGAGCTTGAGTGGAGGAGTGGCAGAGAGAGAGGGAGAGAGGGAACCCCAAGCATTGATTGTGTGGCCGTTAGGATATGATTTCACAACAATGGCACTGAGTCAAGACGGATGCGAGGCTGGAACGCACAAACCGTGAGATCATGACCTGAGCCGAAATCAAGAGTCAGAAGCTTAACTTCAGGTGCCCTTGAAGTTTAACTTTTTGCTCAAAGGAAAGCATTACAAGGAAAAGACAGTGGGTAGGTGGGAAGCAATGTGAAACTTATATTTGTTTTACATACACGTGTAAAGATGCAAGTATATCCACCTAGGGATGTACGCTATCTTTTAATCTCTACAGAGACACTCCTCTGCTGTCGCGAAAGTTTTCTTTTGAGAGTTGGTAGACTTGGATTTGCACGCATGTCCCACTGGTCCCCTCGGTGCCTTACTGTGCATATCTTCAAAGCAGAGTACTGGGGCAATGTGAAGAAGTCTTTCTTGCGCAGCGCAACTCTCCAATGGGTGATCGTTCTCGAATCAACTGAGCTCAGAAGGCTTGTTCTTGAATTAATCCAACTTACTAGACAAATAATACATAAGGTTCCATGTGAGTATTTTTTATCAGTAAAATAACGGATTTATGGTACTTTCTATTATTCAAATTGCTACACCATTTAAAACATTAAATCAAGAGAAGAGTCAAAAATGATTATGCAGCTGTCAAGATACGATTGCACAATAATGGCCTTGAGTCAAGATTGGGAGGCAGTACATCTGTGCTGGCATGGAAGGCTGATTTATGACAAATGTCCAACATAGTGGTATTTGGAGTTCTTTCCCCAGTTAAAGTGATGGGGTTGATTTTTTTCAGGACCTACCATTAGAGTTCCAACTTAGCATGTCTCTTGTATTTCTGATTCGACTCTAGTAGAATGCAAAAGGGAGAGGAGGTAATGTAATTCCTAAGTGCCCTCGTACACAGGAAAATAGAGTGTGTTTATGACGAATGTGTTTATGCAGAGCATGTCCTTATGAAAACACATATTTTGAGATCACCTTCTTCTCCTGCTTCATAAGACTTAAGAGAACTAACCTATATTGAGTACCTTCCACGAGCCAAGTATACTATAGACAATCCCTTAAGTGTTCGCAGCTAAGTCAAGTAGATATGATTATTTCCATTTCCCCATCCCATTTCCAGATGAGAAAACTGAAGCCACGAGGATAAAACCAGCGGTCAATGTTACCAGACAACTGGTGGGAGAGCTGGGGTAACAAGCCTTGTTCAATTACAAAACCAGAGTACCTCCTATCATACATTCTTGCACCCTTTTCTAGCAATATCGGTTGAAGTTCTGTCTTCTCTCATTGCCTTTTGTCAAAAAGTAACAATTAGATACAATGCGACCCCCCCCCCCCCCCACACACATACATCTCTCCATAAATGTCCATATATGAGTTACAGGGTAGCATAGCGGTGAAGTGCATGAACTCTGGGGCAAAAACTACCTGGGTTCACATAACGCTGACCACCTGTGTGCCACTCAGCAAGATGCTTAGGCACCTTTGGAGTCATTTCCCCGTTAGTAAAACAGCTATGCTGATAGCATAATCACTAAGAATGGTTTCTGAAATATTTTAAGTGCTGTGCCAGTATTAGCCACGACTGATATCAGTAAGGGCAGAACTCTTGGATAATATTTCTCATTCGGTATATTTTGGCTAGAGTAGTCTGGACGATTAAAATTTAGTGCTACGGAGGCAGAGATTAAAATTGAGACAGACGCATAAACCTGTTAGCTTCCTTTCTGCTCCATGCCCATAGGTTCCCTCACCCCACTCAGCTATGTCAGTGAGTATCATGGATCAAAAGGGCTCCCTGAATCAGAACAATTTTACACTCCCAACAAAATACATGACTTGAGGATCAGAGAGTAGGTTAGTCATGAAATGGAAGATGAGCCCTCTACTGTGGTAATTTAAAATACTGACTTCAGGCACCTGTGTTTACAGCAGCATCATTCACAATAGCCAAAAGACGGAAACAATTCAAGTGTTCATCGATAGATGAGTGAGGAGTCCCTGGGTGGCTCAGTCTGTTAAGCCTCCAACTCTTGATTTCAGCTCAGATCATGATGTCATGGTTTGTGCATGGAGCCCGATGCGGGCTCTGAGTCTAACAGCATTGAGCCTGCTTGGGATTCTCTCTCTGTCTCTGTCTCTGTCTCTGTCTCTCTCTCTCTCTCCCTCTCCCTCTCCCTGTCCCTCCCCCACTCTCTCTCTCTCAAAATAAATAAATAAACTTAAAAAAAACAGATGAATAAAGAAAATGTGGTCTAGCCATATGATGGGATATTATTCAGCCTTAAAAAGGAAGGAATTCTGGGGCGCCTGGGTGGCTCAGTCGGTTGAGCGTCTGGCTTCGGCTCAGGTCATGATCTCACGGTTGACGAGTTCGAGCCCCACGTCGGGCTCTGTGCTGACAGCTCGGAGCCTGGAGCCTGCTTCAGATTCTGTGTCTCCCTCTCTCTCTCCGCCCCTCCCCCACTCATGCTCTGTCTCTCTCTGTCTCAGAAATAAATAAACATTAAAAAAAATTTTTTTTAAAAAAGGAAGGAATTCTGACACAGGCAATAACATGGATGAGCTTTAAGGATGTTATGCTAAGTGAAATGAGCCGGTCACAAAAGGACAAATACCGTGTGATTCCAGTTATATGAGATAGCTAAATTAATCAAATGGACAGAGACAGAAAGTAGAATGGCAGTTTCCAGGGGCTGGGGGAGATTGGAAATGAGGAGTTATTGCTTAATGGGTACAGATCTTTGTTTTTACCAGAGAGAGGGATCTCTGGGGATGGGTTGCATAACCATATGAATGTACTTAACACTACTGAACTGTAACTTAAAGATGGTTAAGATCATAAATTTCATGTCACGTGTATCTTACCACAATGAAAAAAAAAAAAAAACCAATACTGATTTCAGTGAAACCAACTATAGCTGCCGCGGTGGCCCCTGATTTAGTGGGACAGTGTTCTGTTACTGATCTATGAGGTTAACTGAAATCGTCAATGCGTTTTCTCATCAGCAGCCAATCTCACTGACACACTGCAGCTGTTGTCTACACTCCACACTCCAAGCAAGAGCCTGGGCCACCCACCCCTTGACCTTTGATTCTTTCCTAGGGGAGCTACAAATATGACTCTCGTATTCAAGGGTACCTGTGGAGAAAACGCAAGTGTGTGTTCCTAGGTGGCCACCCTGTTGAATCCCTTCACCTGTGGAAGAAAAGGCAGGAGTAGGAAAATCTTCCTTATAGGGCAGTGGTGTTAGATCATATAATTGTCAGACGCGCTGTTTCTATTTCTGATGGCATCGTTGGAAGTCTAGGCACCACCCCAGGGTCTCTGCATCTGCACCCATGTTTTTGCATGGTGTATGAATGTGAGGTTTGTGTTTTGGAACTTGGGTAATTAACCCAAGAAAAGAATGGCCGAGTCTCTTAATTAATTAGGACCTATTTAGATTTCTGTGGTCAGCGGCTTCAATAGGAATCCTTTAGCTTAGACTTACTGCCTATGGATTTTTTAAAAATGTGTTTGAATTTCACAAGTACGTGTGAATTACGTATCTTTTAGTTCTCCCAGTTGGGAGGAAGGAGAAGGGAGGATAAACATTTTGTGTTTCAATACAAATGAGAGCGACCTTCAGGGCCAGCATATTAATTAACAAATGATTATTCTTCATAATAGTGGAATAGTGTAAAAAGGAATCTATTTTAGTAACAACAATTCCTTCATTCAGACATTAGCATCAATTCTTTATGCTTCCTGACTGCCTACATACTCCAGTGTGTGTGTGTGTGTGTGTGTGTGTGTGTGTGTGTGTGTGAGAGAGAGAGAGAGAGAGAGAGAGAGAGACAGTGTGTGTGTGTGTGTGTGTGTGTGTGTGTGTGTGCGCGCGCACGGGGCGGGGGCATCTATCATGTGGCATACTGAAGTGTAATTTGAAACAACAGCAATTCAGAAAGAATTCAGAAAGAATCTTCAGAAAGAAACTTCGTTGTTTTTTTTTAAATATAATTTATTGTCAAATTGGCTAACATACAGTGTGTAAAGTGTGCTCTGGGTTTTCAGGGTAGATTCCCGTGGTTCATCATTTACATACAACACCCAGTGCTCATCCCAACAAGTGCCCTCCTAGATGCCCATCACCCTCTCAATGCCATTTTTCCCTCTCTGTTTGTAACCATTTTCCCCCTCCCCTTCCCCCATGGTCTTCTGTTAAGTTTCTCAAGATCCACACATGGGTGAAAGCATATGGTATCTGTCTTTCTCTGTATGACTTATTTCACTCAGCTTAATACCTTCCAGTTCCATCCACGTTGCTGCAAATGGCCAGATTTCATTCTTTCTCATTGCCAAGTAGTATTCCATTGTATATGTAAGCCACATCTTCTTTATCCATTTGTCAGCTGATGGACATTTAGGCTCTTTCCATAATTTGGCTACTGTTGAAAAAGCTGCTAGAAACCTATGAATCAGCACTCCTGTATCCTTTGGCTAAATTCCTAGTAGTGCTATTGCTGGGTGGTAGGGTTGTTCTATTTTTAATTTTTTGAGGAACCTCCACTCTGTTTTCCAGAGCAGCATCCAGATGGCTAACAGACACATGAAAAGAAACTTTGTTTCTGATACCTATCACCCCCACCACTACAAGCTTATTTCAAAAGGGCAGCTGTCAAGAAGTCTCTAGTTGGCTTTACAGAAAATGAAATGCAAAGTGACTGGTGTTTGACTCTGAATGTCTCTTGATTCAAACCATCTTGAAAAGTAGAAGCCTCTCTGAAAACTGAGTGCCACCTGTTAACTGGAAAAGGGCCAAATGACCTCTGACCGGACTGCTGCCAGGGAGGTTTGGCCACGTCTGTGATTTCCATCAGCATCCGCCTTCTCTGGCCCTTCAAGAGGCTGGGGCAGGCCTTAGTTAAGGAGGGGAAGTGGCTTTCAAAACACTGAGATTAAAGAAGTACCAGAATCAAACAGCTTAGTACAATGACCGATTCTCTTTCGAACAATCCTCAGAGCTGACCTGTCCTTGGCCTTCCGAAAGGTTGCTTCCAGAATATTAAGCCGTCAGGGCACTGGGGAGAAGCCACAGCAAATGATGAGGCCACTGGGTGGGAAGACTGGATCTTAACAGCAAAATCAAAGTGATTCTGCCTGTCTTTAAGCCTCCAGAATCGCAGATAGGGCAGCACCGGTCAAGACGGAGCCATTGCCCTAAGAGATCTCGGATCACTGGTTCTCTTCTGAACTTGAGAAACTGGAAGTGGCCTTGCCAGGAACTATTTTAGCAGGGGTCGCAAAGTTTTACGAGAAGAGGAAGCAAGAGCTTTAAACCAAGTTTCCCTTTTGCATTTCACCGAGAACAGGTGTTTGCTTTGCTCAAGGGAAGACTTCCCCGGGGCAGGGGATGTCATGCACAGCTAAGAGCCGCGGTGGGAATGCTCAGCTGTCATACCTGGGATTGGTTCACATCACCAGTGTGATATCACTCCAGTGGCTTTCCCTGAATG